ATCGGAATTGAAAACAAAATTATAATTTCGTTGTTTAACACTTAATTAACAAATTGACAGCTCGCTCCCATACAAACACCCACCGAGGGGCGGTAAGATGATGATTTGGACCGGATGGAGTGATCACTAGGTAAATCATCGTTTAACCGAAACTGAATTTTCTGTCAGACTTATTAGTCATATGACACCGGTGTTTTTAAATTTTTCAATCAAAAACAAGTTTCTATGTATTTCCATGTTCATTTTCACAAGCTTCGATTGCTATTTTTTTTAAAATAATGCTGCATTTGATGAAATTATACGCTAGAGGTATTTGTAAATGATTGCGTCATGTAAGAACAAGTTTAAATCGATGTTGCCGAAATTATATTCGATTTTGACAACATAAAACTTTGAATTTTCTTTAAATATTCTTAAATAGCATTTCTTCATAGTTTTTTAACAGTTATTCCAGTTTTCAACTGTTTTTTTTTTAACTTTGCGAGAATTTTATCCATTTAGTCAGCTTTCAAATGTTCCCGGTACAAATAAATATAAATTAGTGATAAATTCATGGTGCCAGAATTTATTTACATAATCTCCCTAAAATGAAGAGTTTTCTAACTAATGCAAATTATTGCTAAAGAAATACTAACGATGTTGGGAATATAAAGATCTATGTAATAGAAATGAATATTGTAAAGTCTTTGTACTCATGTTTTTCGTATGAAATCGAAAATTTCAACAATAAGTCAATTCAGGCTGCGATGGATGGCTTAAAAAAAACTTTTGGCAAAATGGCGGCCTTTCAATTCCCTATGTTTTTTCTTCTGTCTGTTTCATTTCATCTTAGCTTTCTTCTTTGGTTATATTACACATTCTACCGGCTTGTATTCACCAGTTTTTTTAACAGGTTTGGTATTGTTACTGTAAAGTCCATTAAGTCACCCTTAAATATACTCTTAATATTTGACTAGTGCTATAAATTTTCAATAAAAATTGGTCATAAGTTTATGATTTGAGTAGTTCTAAACGATTTGATGAGCGGTTATATAACGTCACGTATAACGTATTGTAGTGCAAAACTTGATAAATCTGCAATAATATATGGGGGTTACTTTAATTTTCATTAAGTTACCGTAAAAAAACTTATTCAAAGATAGTTCAAAACCGTTGAAATGTCACTAAGAATTTGTCATTTAACCCTTTCCAGGGTAAAAAACGATATTATTTTTTTGCACATTCTTAACGAAATTTCCAGGGGAATCCAGGAAATTTATTGTAAGTATATAAACAGTGTGACACAGATGTATTCGAACACATAAAAATTATGTACTTCTTTAAGAAAGCACATTACTTCGGATTGAATATCCGGAAGTTATTCATTGAAAATTTATAGTGGAAAAATTGCACCATTCTGCATGAAGAGACAAAGTCTGAAAATTACACCACAAAAGGTGCATTGTGAAACAAACTTCACTGACAATTTTTGGTGCATCGTTCTGGTGAATAGAGGAGCAAGCTTTATAGAAAATCTCTGGTGCAAAATTTGCATCGCATTGAGTGATTTGATTTGAGTTTTGAGCGTATCTATTTGGTGAACAAAAAAATAAACCGTCGATTACTCGCGCATTAAAGTACAATCTTGCAATTCGACTCAACCAGATGATAGAGGAATCATTCCTCTATCCTTTTAGTTAAGTTGGATTGCAAGATTGAGCTTTAATCCGCGAGAAATCGGTGATTTAAATGTTTGTTTACAAAACAGATGCCCCCAAAACTCGAATCACAATCCTATTTTCTAACGCTTGGAAGAGCACATTCGCGCTAAAATAGTGGCGTCTGTTTCTGGGCAGAACATTCGCGCTAAAATAGTGGCGTCTGTTTCTGGGCAGAACATTCGCGCTAAAATAGTGGCGTCTGTTTCTGGGCAGAACATTCGCGCTAAAATAGTGGCGTCTGTTTCTGGGCAGAACATTCGCGCTAAAATAGTGGCGTCTGTTTCTGGGCTGAACATGTTCAATTCCATCGCAATGAATATATTCGATATTGATATAAATTGATTACTGGATACCCCTATTTTAATTATTGAGTATGGCACAGCACAAGAGTGCGGAGTCACTAATCATGAAGTTTGGAGTTCGATTCTTGTTTCGGGTTTAGGGAAAAGTTTTTATTTTTTTTACTCATCCTGAAAAACAGTTTTGTTACATAAACATTCATTGTTTCCTTAGATGAAAGGTGGCATCGAAATAATTAAGGGAAATGCAAGTTCTCTAACATCGGATACGAACAGCGTACATCTCAGTTGTCTATTTGGGCCCATGGAAAATGAGTGACGAGAGGTACGATACAATCTACACGCAGAAGGTTTCATTCAGAACGGGAAGGCAACAGAAATGCTAAAAATAAACCTGCTTCCATACAGCGCAGCAACCGAAAAAGGGCAGAACGATTGCTTCATTTTACTATACATAGTGTGTATATACACTGTGCAGAATTTGCGATGGTATGAGAGAGTCAGTTTGAGTATTTGTCTTTTTCATACCAATTTTTGCACCCGTTATTTGCTATGAAACTAACCTCCTCCCAAAATGCTCCGATGCGGTGCTATTTTCACAGCAGAAATTTTCTGAAAACTAGACATCCATGGACCATTTCAGTGCGATTGTTCCACGAGAAATATTTATTTATAATATTTTTATTCCTCGCCGTTCATCAGCATGAGGCAAATTTCCAGTCAGAAATCTTCGATAAAGATTGTCTTAATAGGCCATTTGTTAATATGTTAATAATGCCATAAATGTTAATATTGCCCCTCCATTCATCAGAACGGAGCTAAATTTGTACTACAAATTTTCAATAAAGCTTGCACAATTCTCCATTTACAAAAACGGTGCAAATTTTCCTCCAATATTTTCAATACTTGCCCTTCGATTCACCAGCACTTAGAAGGGTGTAAATTTTCCACTATTAATTTTCATTGAAGGTTTCCCTCCTCCTATACACCAGCTCGGAGCTAAATTTGTACTATAAATTTTCAATAAAGCTTGCACAATTCTTAATTTATAAAAACGGTGCAAATTTTCCTCCAATATTTTCAATACAACTTGCCCTTCCACCAACACTTAGTTATTTTTCACCAATTTTCTGCAATTAAGCTTGCCCCTCCATCACTAGAAGGGTGTAAATTTTCCACCACTAATTTTCATTGAAGGTTTCCCTCCTCCTATACACCAGCTCGGAGCTAAATTTGTACTATAAATTTTCAATAATTTTATTTAAAATCAAATTCAATTAAAGACCCCTAGCGCCCTCTGTAACAGCAGAGATATTTGAAATCACACATCCAATTTCCCCATTTTTCAAACGCCCTCTACGAGCATGCTCATCATCAAAATAAACACAAAAAATTAAATTCAATTAAAGACCCCTACCGCCCTCTGATACAAACCAACAATTCCAATTTCAGGAAACAAAAATTAAAAAATAAAATCAAACTCAACTAAAGACCCCTAGCGCCCCTTTTGCTTCAAGGAAATTAAAAGCAAAAATTCAAATTTTTTCAAACATCACAAACGTCTTCAATTTGCATTAGTATCATTAAAAAGAAATAAAAATACATACTCTTAGCGTCCCATAATGCAAACCATTTATATTTAATGAAAAAATCAAAACGCCTTCCAGAAAAAAAATATGGAAGAAAATAATATTTAAAATCAAATTCAATTAAAGACCCCTAGCGCCCTCTGTTACAGCAGAGATATTTGAAATTACACATCCAATTTCCCCATTTTTCAAACGCCCTCCACGAGCATGCTAATCATCAAAATAAACACAAAAAATTAAATTCAATTAAAGACCCCTACCGCCCCCTGATACAAACCAACAATTCCAATTTCAGGAAACAAAAATTAAAAAATAAAATCAAACTCAACTAAAGACCCCTAGCGCCCCTTTTGCTTCAAGGAAATTAAAAGCAAAAATTCAAATTTTCTCAAACATCACAAACGTCTTTAATTTGCATTAGTATCATTAAAAAGAAATAAAAATAAATACTTTTAGCGTCCCATAATGCAAACCATTTATATTTAATGAAAAAATCAAAACGCCTTCCAGAAAAAAAATATAGAAGAAAAAAATATTTAAAATCAAATTCAATTAAAGACCCCTAGCGCCCTCTGTTACAGCAGAGATAGTTGAAATCACACATCCAATTTCCCAATTTTTCAAACGCCCTCCACGAGCATGCTCATCATCAAAATAAACACAAAAAATTAAATTCAATTAAAGACCCCTACCGCCCCCTGATACAAACCAACAATTCCAATTTCAGGAAACAAAAATTCAAAAATAAAATCAAACTCAACTAAAGATCCCTAGCGCAAACAAACTATTCTAATTTTATTAAACATTCTAACAGCATCCAGAAGCATGAATGTCATCAAAGTAAAAAAATATATAAAATTTAATCAAATACCCCTGGTGCCCTCCTGTTGAATCACACTTTCAAATTCCTTATTTTCCAAACGCCTTGCTGTTTTATGACATGAGTATCATCGAAGTAAAAACAAATTAAATTTAAATTAGATACTCCTAGCGCCCCCTGTTGCTTGTTGTAATTTAAAAATAAAATCATCTTTTTTAATTCCTCCGTCGAATTTGCTTTTGCTTAACAATTAGAAAATAAATCAAGTTTTTAAAGATCGTTTTGTGTGGAGGCATTTAAACTAATCTTACAATTTTGTTAAACACTTCATGATTGCCTACGGCGGCTGTCTCAGAGAACTTAGATTTTTTTTGTTCACCTTGCTGATACATCACAAGAAAGGTGTGTGTTATGTTTATGGACTTTTGATTTTTTTATAATGTGTATGAAAACAATAAGAGGGCGTTAACAGTAAAGGTCTAGCATGAGGAGCATCAAGAGGGCGCATAAGGTATGAAACACAAATCATTTGGGGGGGCCATGGCCCCCCCTGGCCCCCCCTTGCGCACGCCTGTGGTAGCCGGCATCGTACAGCATCTAGAGCCTTGCCCTTCAAGCATTTTCGAAGCCGAAGCATGTTTTCTTCGTTGGAGAAGCCACACATCTTCGTTGAAGAGTTGTACATGGAGAAGAACAGCGGCCAATCTTCAGGATTTCCGTAAAACTCCGGTAACTCCTTGGATACAGCCTGACGTGCTGCTAACTGGCTTCGGTTGAGGATGCACACGTTCTCTTCGACATTGCGAGCAGCTGGTTCCGGATTTCCGAAACCTCGGGATGTTGAATCTCCTTGAAGCATTTCATTCCTTGACCCTGAAGGTTGACGATACTGGCTTTCCGGGACGATTGTTGGTTCTGGCCAGAAGTGTTCATTTGGTGCAGCAGGTGGCGGCCGAATGCCCTGAACTCCTGGAGCTGGAGCCACTCGAGGGACTTGCGAATGATGGAACTGGATTCCTGGAGCTGGAGCAGGCCGAAGATCCTGTGGCAGGTAGTTATGTGTTTCTAAAGCTGCAGCTGACCGAAGTACTTGTGGTCGGTAGAACTGGTCTTCTGGAAGCGTGTGCGAAGGCGACCTTCGGAGCAGGCCTTCTGGAACAGGTGCCGGTGGTCGACGGAACTGGACTTCTGGAGCTATGGCTGATGGTTGACGGAACTGGACTCCTGGAGCTGTGGCTGGTGGTTGACGGAACTGGACTCCTGGAGCTGTGGCTGGTGGTTGACGGAACTGGGTATCTGGAACAACAGGCTGACGAAATGGCTCCTCTGGAACTGGTGCCGGTGGTCGGCGGAACAGGCTTTCAGGGATCGGTGCTGGAACGGAAGGTTGCATTACACGGCTCCTCAACCTCGGATCCATACGAACGGTCTCTTGAGGCGTTGAACGTTGGTTAGGAACGAAACCATGTAGAGATGATTGCGGTTCCGTCTGCCCCATAGTCGGTGCCTGCTGAATGACAGCTTGCAGTTGATCATCGTTCGACTCTTCTTCCACCAGACCGGAATCATAATCTTCACCACACTTTTCCGTATCTCTCAGCCATCCTCTCACTTTGGACATCTCCTCGGATCCTACATCATCATCACTGGCGACAGTTTCATCGTCAGCGTCCTCGTCATCCAAAATGCGGTATTTTTCATCCAAAAACTTTTGTTCCAACTGCTTCTGCTCTTCCAGCTTCTGCAATAGTCGATCGACCTTCCGTTGATTGCTCCGGTTACTGCTTGCCTTTCCGGTGGACTTCTTTGAACTTACAGAGTTGGGGGGTGGATCTACCGGTTGAATCTGCTGGAGCATTGGTGTCTGCTGCTCTTGATGACTTGCGCCGAAATGCATGTATGGACACTTTGGACAAATCCAGCTGTAGTCCGCTATGCCACTAGTCACTTCTACACAAGAGAAATGATACCACTTATCGCAACCATCACACTGCACCATTCTACTAGTATCACGTTCACTACACAACTCGCAATGACTGTACCGAGTTATATGAACGCGTTGGTTCAGATCAAGTCGAGCGTTGGGTCTCGCGTTAACGACAATATTTGACGACCGGACGGGATTGACTTTAGTAGTAGCACTAACCTTTATTTTGGGTATGGCTCCCTTTACATGGGCCTATCTGGTATTGGCAACGTCAAGATTTACCTGAGGACTAGGAGGGGGAGGAACTACTTTTACCACAGCTGCATCGCTCTTTGCGCCTGTTGCCGATTTCATCGAGTCCTTCGCTCCGTGTTTCGCGTTGGTCACGATAGTGAGACTGTTGATCCCGGCAACTACATCTGCATCGGTTATTGGAGTTCCCGTGTCCTTGTCTGCTGCGCTACCCACATCGCCTGTACCGAAAAGTTGGCTTACCGCACCCATGACAGAACTCAATTCCGACCTGGATCTGGTTGACGATTTGCGAGACATCCTCGACGTGCTTACAAGAATTTTGTAAGATGTTGTGCGGTAGCAAGCGAATCGAGATTTTGTCAATTCAATGTATTCAGTTTTATTGAATTACAAAATTCCTAATATAAATGTCATATTTGAAATTATTTGTAATTAGATTGAGTATGAGATCGTTCCTTACTTGTAGTGATTCTATACCGCTCAACGTTTTAGTCTAAATGTTCTGTCCAAGTTGTAGCTGTATTTCCTGTGTCTAATTAGATCATAACTGTAGTTCATAAGCTTAAACCAACATTTTTAGTTTAATTTTCACCTTCACTTGTCGATTTAACGTAGTTTAAGCACCTTTCTCGGTCTTTTCTTAGGCCGTATCGCAATATTCCTAGGTAATTTTATAATTAGTTTAAGATTTAGTTATACCGCTTTACGTTATTAACCTGCAGTAGCAAAAAATATTTTCTGCCCGAACTCAATCGATAATTCACTAGTATAAGATTGTGTATTTTACTTAATTTAAGAATTCACTAGGTATTCAGCACTAGGTAATTTAGTAATAATTATTCGTAAGCCGGTTGAAGTGCACAGAAAAACTTCGAACAATAGCTTCTGTTGTTTTTCTTCTGGTCTTCCCACTGTCCCATAGACAAAACAATCCTCCGTACGTACGATGGGTGTGGATGGATTCGACCATCTACGTCGACTGTGTGGGGCGTGTGGGGCTTAACGGGCTCGTCAACGTAGCGCAACCAACACTGCCGAAGAAAAATAAGCTGCCAACAATTGTCACACTCATCTGGGATGTTTGGAGCGTTGTAAAAACGATTATATACAATTTTGGACAATTAGGTCGATTGGAATACATAAATCAGCAGGCAGCGAAAGAATGTAAACAAACAAGGTCTTCAGTTGTGTGCATGAGATCGAGAAAATGTAAAAAAATGCATGCACGCTGCTTAGACTGACGAGAATACGTAACTTCCCCTAGTACGCGAAAATAATGTTATTACATGAACATCAGCTACTCTAATCTTATTTTGGAAAACGCTCTATTTCCAAATGGCGCAAGTTTGCCCAAGATTTTTTTTCAGAACTCGATAAAATATACATAAAAGGCGATCATGGAGCATAAAATGACCTGGGAATGTTTGGGAAAAAAATGGCTGACCAACAAAAAAATAATTTTGATGTTTTTCTTATTGTATCCATATTTTTTTTTTTTTTTTGTAATTTTTTTAAATTATTCCTTCGTATTATATTGCATTTTCATTGAAAGCTCTTTTCATACGCTTTCTAATAGTATGCAAAAACATAGGAATAACTGTTAAATAAATTATAAAATAATATTTTAATGTGGGCTTGTTTTTAAAGCAAAAATTTATGATTTCAGCATTTTTTCAACTTCAAAGTTGAATATCTCTAAAACTACCAATCGTAGACACCTAAAATTTTGGGAACTTCTTAGTCAAAGTGTTTACTATTGATTGAGTATTCCAGAATCTGAGTTAGAAAAAGTCAATTTTTCTATTTTTGTCCGCCTGATTTCCTATAGTGCACTGCCGGTGGGGAGTCAGATTCTAAACTGAAATATGTTCGGAGTTTCTTATCATGCCGATTTAGTATGTTCAGATGAATTATTCAAAAACAATTGCTCTATCTCATATGTACAGTTGGAGAGGGGGGGGGGGTTTCAAACTGAAATAACTTCGGAGTTTCTTATCTTATCGATTTGGTATGCCGCATTTTGTTTGCCGCATTCACACGTGAGTTTATTCTCGCAGGGAATTGAATGAGATTTGAGAATGATTTTCCAAACACTGCTTGCCATACTTTTACATTTGGTAATGAAAAAATGGTTCAGAATTAGAAAGCTCTCAATTAACAAAAAAAAAAGAACTTTTAGTTTCTAGTGATAATCTAGTTAATACATTGTATGAGCTGTCTGTATTTTGTTGTAATTTACGAACAAAAGGCACATATAAATTCATGAATGAATATCTCCATAATACTAACTTACATAATTCGTGATGTTATCTTCAGCAAAGTTTTTGCTTAATCAATATTGCTGTACTATCGCTATGCAACGAGGAGTAACGGAATGTTATTTCTCCATACATTTCAACGAAATCTCCTTATAAATTTTAAAGTAAAAGTGCCATCTCGTGTTATATGGCCCGTTGAAAAAAAAAATAAAAATGACTCCCATATCAAGGTGGGCCAGTCTATTGTAGATAACCATTAGCAAATATGGTGACTCCGTAAAGCCTAGTCTACATTGAGATTCTTTGACGCACAACAATTGGGAAATTTTTCTGGGTGTACATCAAATTTCCTGAAAATTTAACAGTTGATTGATCATATATTCAAGATCTATCCCATTGCAATTTAATCATCTCTATACAAATTTCAAACCATTTGTATAATCTCTAAACCTTCATCAATCTTTTAATTTTTTGCATTGGCTCATATTTTAAGGTTATTTATCAAACTGGAGGGTAGCCCATAAGATTGGAAATACTGTTTTCAAAATGAAGCACCCTAACGTACGTACGCATGAGCAAGTTTTTCCTTTGTTCGTTTCCTACCGTTCAGATTTTCCGAATGCGCTTTTCTTTTTCAAGAACCCTACTGGACTGAAAACGAGCACAATGGCCCATATGCAAGCGTTCATTGCTAACTGTTTGCATCTCTAGTTTTTCATATCTCCTTTTGACAAGATAAGACTTGACTCACCCAGCTGCAGTGATCTTGGTAGGATGGAGTGACAGTGCGCATATTTAGGGTTGAAAAAAAAATAAAGGAAGAATCGGAGTTATCAAGGTTTAAGAACCATTTAATTTGGATATTCGAATGGGATCGTGTGGTATTTTATAAAAAGTATGTTTGCAAATAATTGATAAAGAGATTATAATTGCAAGCAGGGTTTAGAAGGCAATAACTCTCTTACAGTTCCAGCAACCCATTTCAGATTTTAGTTGCAGACCAGGTTATACAGGCAAAAATAGCCTTATGCAGCTATTTTTGACTGTATAAACTGGTCGGCAGCTAAAATTGTTTGTTGAGTGGAAAGTCACGTCCATTCAGATGTCACTTTTACATAGCTCCGCATGTAGACTTTACCGATATCAAATGGATAAGAGTTCTGTAAACACACTTTAAGATCTCTAAACGTGGTGTTTCTAAATCTGGAACGTATTTATTAAAACTGGGAAATATGCTTTTGTAAAATTTTATTTAAATGTTCGAACCTGACCTCAAACCACGAAAATCAACTCAATGAACAGAAGCGTTGACCTTGAAGCCACCGAACCTGATACAGAACTCCAAAAAATAGGCCTAGCCCAAATTCCCACCTCTGTCCATTTAGTTTCTATGCTGCAGGAATACCATCACCATACCGTTCACTACGCGACTACTTCTTAACGACCCAATTAGCACTAATCTTCTCACGATTCCTTGTGAATTAAAGAAACAAAAAACCACACCAACCAAAGAGAAGCAAAGTGCAAATGTTGGCACTGAGCTTCGTAATGCTGAAATGGTGAAAATGAGACAATTAAATCGGATCCCTAATTGGCAGCATGATTGCTACGACTTGCCTGGCGCTTGTCTATTTGGCATGAACCATCACATCGATAGCTTTAGGTATAGAACATGGATCAAATCGTTCGTGAAGCGGGTGTAGAAGGAAAACCTGGAAACTGTAAGAATACTGAGCCAATTCCAAAGCAGCGAGCAGTTCAGTTACCTACTGCCACACAAAGAATCCAAATCAACAGCTTTTGCAATGACGGTAAATCACTTGAACATCGACGCCTCCACCCGTGTGCTGCACCAGCTTTCTTTCTATCTTGATGCTGATTGATGTTGCTAATAGAATTCTGATAGCCAGATATTTCCTGGGATCAGGTCTGTCAGCGGCCCCGGCGGACGAGTGGAACGCCAAATCGGTGCAACAAGGTATGGAAAAGTGGCATAAATCACTCGTCGTTGGTCGTTTGCCTTGTTTGCTCGCTTGCACGTTCGTGACTGTTCGGTAATCCTTTCAGTTCGGTGAAATCCGGAGAACCCCTTTGCTTTCAGTGAGTGGTGGCTTCCTTGCTCCATGTGGGTACAAGGTAGGAGAAAGATAAATCAATATCCTTTAATTAAATTTTCATGATCGATGAAGACAGGGCTGTGTCTGTGTTGGTTCCACGAGCCTGATTTGGGGTTGTATATATGTGTGCAGGAGAAAGGAGGTGGGTATCATTTCTACCCTGTCTTCTACCATACTTTGTTTATATTTTTTTTTTAACACTACCAGTATTAACGTTGAGGTCATTTTACTTCAAAATGTATTGCATATATTGCTCCTCTTGGTAGGTAGTGTGTACATTAGGGTGGTTCAAAATATCGATTTTGCTCTACCAAGCTCAATCGATTCTAAATCATGTACAAATCATTTTCCTAAAATTTGAGCTCATTTGGGGTTGCGAACTCATACTGCACTGACCCTTAGAAGTTTATATGGGAATTACTATGGGAAAAGTTAACATTTA